GTGCGAATACAGAAGAAATTGGAAAATCTTGGGATTGAAATAATAAGGAAATTCCGAAACGTACCAAAGGAAAATGCCTAGGTCTTAGCAACTATCATCATCATGGTATATAGAGTGTGATATTTCACTGACTTTTTCCTTTAATATTTTTTCTTCTGCAAATTTATTTTCCTTTTTTTGCCCCATTCTTCTGCAGAGGCCTGCTGGCCAAGACGTGACTACACTGTTACACACACTTTTGAGTGTGGCAGACAAAAATTGATCCCACAAAAATTAAATTTAAATCCCCTTAATGATCAACAGTTTAAATAGTGTGCACCACATTTTTTATCACTGTTGCAAGAGTTTTTACATTGGAATGCTACTTGCAAAAAGAAAATCAAAAATCAAAATTTGATGATGGAATATAACAAATACAATACGAACAAAAGTGAATGTGTCGTATAGGCTATTGTCTAATTATTTTGCCTCGGTTTGAATTTAGGTAACTGAATTAGTCAATTTTTAAAAAAACAAATATATACATATTTTTATATGGTGAAGTATCACACTTCACAAAACAATACGAACAAAATTATGAAATTTTAGTTTATAATATGCATTTTGGTTAAATAAGTATCATAAATTGATCGATGAGATCAACTCTCTTACAATAATTTGTGCACAAATTACATGAGCTTGAACCATTTCATTTGAATTTGTAAAAAGCTAGTTGTTTAAGTGCATGCTTGGACATTGATATATCTAACGAAAAATTCAATTTCAATTTAAATCTAACTCAACTTTAACTCAATTTTATCATTTTCAATATTATCTATATACTTAAATAATATCTATCAACAATTCTTACACATTACATTAATTTTGATTCACTATTTATATACTCACATAATTTTAACTACACGTCACTTCTAATCATATATATCTTACATCAAATTGACTGTAAATATTTAATTTAAATATTATTTTAATATAAATTCATAATTCTACTCCAACTTAAACAAACACTTTTTTCAAAATCAATCATGATTAACAAGCAAAACCAATCAAATTCAATAAATCTATATCAAATCGAGTCTTACACTTGAGCCAAGACAAGTAAGAAATGAAATAAAAGAACTATTCACTCCATCTTATTGTTTATTTAGCATCTCATTCAGACAATTAGGAAAATATAATTTTATTTGAATAAATTATGTTTGACCTTTTATAAAATGATGTTGTAATTCCATGTACTACAATTTGACTTGTTATAAGAGTACTATTATTCATTCTTAAATTCATTGACAATCATACTTTTAAATAGAAATTAGTATAGCTTGGGTAAAAGATATTCATTAATATTTATAAATTAAAAATATGAAATCAATATGTAATACAATTTATCTGTATTAATTATGAAAATGTTATATAAGTATTAAATTGTACAAAATTACATAAAAATGTCTATTTAAAATTAGTATACAGTCCGTGCGGTGCACATAACAGATGATATATTATATTATATTCGTTTCAGAATAAGTGTCATTTCAAAAATTTTATTCAGAAATTCGATTTGACTATAACGTAATTCCATAAAATAATTAGTCTAGTAAAATTTTATTACATACTTAAAAACATATGTGAATAATATGTATAAATATAAAACTTATATTGTTTCAATAATTAAAATGAATTAATTTTTGTACAAACTATCTAAATCAAAAAATTTAAGTAGTTGAGTAACTTATTAAACTAGTATAAACTATCTGAATTAAAAAATTTAAGTAATTGAGTAACTTATTAAACTATAAATAATTGACTATCACATGTCCTAGTTAATATTGACTCGCAAGTTATGAATAATTGTTTATTTGATTTCTAATTTTAAATAAAAATATTTTTTGCTTTTTTTAATATATTATATACTCAATTTAAATCATACAATTAATAAAAGTAATAGGTGCAAGTTTTGTCAATATATTATATACCGAATTTAAACCATGCAGCTAATAAATGTAATAGCCCAATATTTGACCAAAATGATTATGTACATCAATAACATTGATTTTTTAATTTGAATTTCAAATGATTTTCCGCCACTTTTAAAAAAATTAAAAAAAAATTCATTAACAGAAGTAAAATTGAATTCTTTTGATGGAATTTTAATTACTATTTCAGGTAAATACAAACGTTTATATAGATGTAGATGTTATACCATCAAGAACAACAAAAATAAAATAAAAAGTATAAAATGTTATAACATTTAATATAGCATATCAATTTTATGCATGACGAATCGACCCATCTAACTATTCAATAAAATTTTACTAGACTAATTAATAATATTTGATATAGCATATCAATTTTATGCGTGCGAATGGACCCACATCAATAATTTGTGTTTGGTCTAAAATTTATACATAAATTTACTAGCAATAAATAACACAAATAAAAGGGGTTAAAAAATTGGTGGGGGGCCATTTAAGGGATGGTGTGGGACTGTAGTCCGGGTTTCACGGCATAAGGAGACGAAAGCGATTAAGACAACTCCTTCTCTCCTTTCTCAGTCTTTTGTCAGTGATACGTTACGTCTGTTTTTTCCCCTTAAATTGTCCTTTTTCTCCTACAAAATTCCACCTTTATTATTTTCCTCAAAGACTCCTTTTCTCATCCTCTCAAATTCCTCACATTATTATTATTATTATTATTATTATTATTATTATTATTATTANACTGAAATCAATATTGCAGAAATTAATTATTAGAGTTGTATTTTAGTTTATGTTGTATTCTAGTTGATTAGAGTTGTATTTTAGTTTATCATATCACATGTATTTTCATTTATGCCTCAAAGTTGCTATTAATTCAATAGCAACTCTTTCTTTAGTCAGCATTTATTTGTTAGTATAAATAGCAAACTAAACACTATTGTAACCTTATTTTTTCATTTCGATCTAATCGCAGCATTTGTTTTAATTTCTCTCTCTCTATCGTTTTCCTTTCATCTTCTCCACCTTCTTTATGCAAATCTGTAATCAAACATTGATCATTTTGAATAATTATTTAATCCTAGTTTCAACAATTAAACATAGCTAATTTTTCAACTGAGGTAAGATCACTTGACTTGGGTTATTTTTAAGTCCCTTTAATGTTATTTCAAAATTGGTATATTAGGCAAACAATATTTCCCGACATTAATCATTAAAATGAACCTTTTAATAGAAATTCAACTTAAGTAAAATCTTATTATGTACATTTAATTTCAAAAATTAGTTATTATTTTTTGTTTGAACTAATCTACTCGTCTAAATAAAGAAAATGTGGTTTCATTACAGAACTAAGAACTAAATCAGATTCCGTTGCTGAAACTCATAATTATGACATCTTTATATTCCGTTGTAAAATTATAAAATTGATACCGTAATTACAACACCAATACTATTCTATTGCAAAAGTTTGTTACTAATGCACTAAATTCTTGTAGCCTAATACTGTGACTTTGGTTTTTCTTCTTCAAGTTAATGTGTCAGGTATAGGCTCAACTCAAAAGATAAAAGTGCGTTTGATAAACACTATAAATTAGAGTGCGATTTATTAAGTGAGTTTATATGATTATTAGAGTTTCAAATAAGTTTATTGTGATTTGAAAATGCTAATCTACCTACCGTTTTCACGTTAAAATGTGTTCATCAATCAAATGTAACAATCTTATAATATTTTGATCACATATTTATCGGGTATGGTAAATTAATCATACCACATTAGTAGGTGGGCATATGATGTGGTGAACATATGACATGTGATTACAGTGGACATGAGAGTGAAACTATGTTATGTTAGCTAGTCTCCTACAGCATAAGTTAATAATTTATAAGTTAATAATTTCAATCGACTTATCAACTAATTTTATAAAATATTTTTATTATATCTTTTAATATTTTAGTCTATCAGCTATTAGTTATCACTACGAAGTTAAGTTATTAATTATTAGTTAAGTGCAAAAAAATTATTAATTAATTTATTAAATATCAATTAGTTGTTTATTATATTAAATCTATCAAACATATTTTGTGATTCGATTTGTTTTATATGGTATTTCATTCATGCTCCTTCTTGGATTAGTAAAATTTGTATTTTCAAGCCTACCCAAAGGCGGCTAAAACCAAAGCTAGATTCCGAGGCTATTTTCATTTTCATTTTTGTTTTTGTTTTTATTTCGGTTTGTTGATCAATTAGGTTATGATTGATTGGATATAAATATGCAGTAAAGAAATTAATTAAAACTTAAATTTAACTTTAACTTTAATTTAAATCTACTACGCTCCATATTATCAAAACAATTAAATAATATCAACCAATTATTCTTACACATCACCTCAATTTTAATTCACCATTCATTCATTCACATAATTTTAACTAACCATCAGTTTCACTTATTTTTTTTATGCTTTTACATCAAATCAACTTTATTTATTTTATTTAAATATTATTTTAAT